CCCGACTGTTGCCAAGCGAGGGCCACACAAAATAAACCCTACGGAACAAAAACGTTAACGAGATCCTGCTCTTTGTAAAGATATTGTTTTTGTACTTTCATACCTTCCCTGTTAGAAATAAAATAAAAATTACCCCGCTGGACGAAAAAAAGGAACGCCGTTCCCCTTTCCGTTCCAGTAAAATTGTAACGAGTTCCTGTTCCAGTTCCAGCGATGCAAATGATGGAACGGCGGCGTTCCTTCGTTCTTCCTAAAAGGAACGCGTTCCAGGAACACCGTTCCTTGGAACGCCGATCCGTACAACACTGGGGCCCAAGCAGAAAATCTGAAATTATTCGCGGGTTCTAGTTTTTGCGAATCGAGTGTAGCTTCCGCAGCATTCACATATTGCCCGAATTGTTCGCGGTACGTATTTTTTGCGAATTGTAGGCGATTCGCGAAATTCGCGAAAATTAGGTCCCCGCGAAAATTTAGTCGTTTACAGTATTTACCATGATCGGCCCTTTATTTATATTGTCAAATCTTCAGGCAGTAGTGAAATATATATTTTTTTATTGTCATCAATAAATTTGACTGTACGAAGTTCACATAACCGCTTGAGATAGACACGGGAGGACGATACTCGAAAAGGCCAGCTGTTGAGTCTGCGGAAACAAGCGTTTTTTGTTTGCTGATTGGCAATGTGAAACACCGCCCAGGCAAAAATTTGTACTAAAGTTGAAGTTGTAACTGGGACCAGTTGGCACTTAACTGGTTTCAATTGGGACTAGCTGGTACCAACTGGGAATACCAGCTGAGGGGTTAACTGATATGAACCATTATACCTGGTCTGACAATGCCCAGTTGGGGAACGAGTGGAAGTAAACTTGGACCAGTTAAGGAAGTAACTGGTTGAAGCGATTCCCAGTCGGACTTTAAATGGTTTTTTCCATTCCCACTTCAGATGGGGACACAATTTTGAGAAGTTAGGGGTGTATTTTATTTGCTAATAAAGAAAACTAAAAAAAACTTGCATTTATAGATTTATACGTATAGGGTCATTTTGAATTACTAGGTACATTTAATATTTATAAAAATAATAATAAAACTTTAATTAACTAAATAATTTATTTGAATTGCAAAATATAATTAGTGACATAAAATGTGTTTGCCTAATTAACATTTAGTGCATACAAAAAATGTATTAAAACATTTATTTAAATACCTACAGTATACCATATATATATATATATATATATATATATATATATATATATATTATATATATATATATATATATATATATATACAGGGTGTTTCAGAGAACTCAGGCCAAATCGCTCCTGCGAAAACTACTTA